TTTAATGACACACAGCAGCCAGTAGCTGCCAGAGCACAGAGATTTACCTGTGCCACAGCAGCTTGAAAGAATCCAGAAATATTGGCTAAAATGCATGTGGACTTGGTTAATTTTTTAGTTCTCCTTTCATGCTTCTTCCTTTTTTAAATGGAGGGTGAAGGTGGGAGCTGAAGAAGCTGGTTGCTGGGCCAGGCTGCACCCTCACCAGGTTTGCAGGTACAAAAGCTGGAGTGGTTGGTGCACTGCTGGGTGCCACCCTCCAGAAGGCCCTCACCAGGCTGGGCAGTGGGTTTGACAGGAACCGTATGAAGTCAACATCTGGACGTGGACCTGGGCACCTGGCTGTGGCCAGCCCTGCTTGAGCAGCAAGGGGCAGGTCCCCTCCCACCCCTACCCCTCTGTGGTTCTGAGCAGACTCAGCATTCCAGAGCAGGGAAGGGGAGCTGGAACCACGCTGCCAAAATTCCAGTTCTGCCCTCTACCCGTTATGCCCTGGTTATATTGTACAAGTTGGAGAAGATTTCTTTGTCAAAACCAAAAACAACCCCCGAAACACCTCAAATTCTGCCCAAATCTGTTGGAAAAGGCTAAAAAAACCAAAATGTCTAACACCTACTGATACAGTAAGTTGCCTCCTCATCTGGGTTCAACTCCCAGTTTGCAAGAAGGCATCTCCTCTGCTGCCCAAATGCTAATGCTCACGGGCAAAGGACAGCTCCTACATGCCCACACACAGTTCATACAGTAAAAACAGCCATTAACCACAGTTACCATAATGAGCAAGCAAAACCTAGAAAGAGGAACCTGCTCGCCACTTCAGAGTTCATCTTCTGAGCTGTAATTTCTTTTCATCATCTCATCTGTCAAACTAGTTTTCAAGTCTATGACAGAGTCACAGGGAGGCAGCACCGAGCATTTTATAATGTTCTTTCAAATCTGCAAAGCTCACATTGTCATACAAAATTGCTGTAGGAGCATGCTGCAGGTCAGATCCTTATATGCTACTTCATAAAAAAAATAAAGCCTTTTTTTTTTTGTTTGTTTGTTTTACAATTTATATGTCACACCTTAACTTAGAAATAAGAGGGAAAACAGAAGCATCAGCAATGCATTCTTGAATTTTTAAAATTGTTGGGGGTGGGGTGAGATGTTTGACACTTTCACTGAAAGCTTCTTCTCTGCTCATCTTGTCATCTTTATTGCACTAGCTCATGATTCTGATTTCATGAAAGTCAGGAGACATTCAGCACTTTGCCCCTGCAGAACACACTTTTTTTTCTGTGGCAGGAACAGGGTTACACAGAACTACTCATGACGTGTTTGTGTTCTGTGTCCTGTAATGGCCACTAACACTGTTACTGTATGTATAACGCTCTTGAACAAATCAGGTTTCTCATAAATAAAGTTTAATGAATGAGAAATAAAACCCAATTCTCACTTTTACAAATTAAATATTGCAATAAGGATGTTTTCTTAAATCAGACTTGCATTTCAAATAGAAATCTCAGCTACAAAGACCATTAAATACAGCGCTGCAAGGCAGAAAATGAAGTCACATTCAATAACGTGCTGTCTTACAGCTACAAAACTGAGGGTTCCCAATTTTTAGGAAATATTTCTATCCTATAAATACCTCAAATGAACCCCAATGCTTGAAACACAACTTATCTTCTCATGGAAAATTTTTGGGATTTAAATTTGTAGGCCCAACATCACATTGTTTAGAAAGTAAAATCTGTTATTGCACTGTGAGAATCTCGATATCAAATACCTTTTCCACTTGGCAAGGATGATGGAGTACCTGGTAGCCTGACACAGTCTCCTCTGGGCTAGCAGACCTAGAGATGCATCCAGCAGCAGCAGCACGTGTCAGTTTGTCCTGCAGCAGCTTAAAGCAAGTTCTGCCAGAGAGTCTCACTGCTCAGTCAGCAGGGAGCACGTTTGGTTGCTGCAGGTCCCTGGGTCTGTTCCATCTGCAGCGATTACACCTCAAGGAAGTTTATCACTGTGCCTCTTTTCACATAGTCTGAAGCTGGTAAACTCTTGCACCTTTCTTCAAAAGATAACCCTGATCATTTAGGGATCCAATAAAGCTTTCAAAATCAGATACCTGGGAAAGAGAAACAAAAATAAGTATCAAATTGGGAGAATGACTTTTTAATTGATGTAAAGCAACAGTTTAAAAGAACTTGGTGAAATAAAGCGAGCTAAGGATATGTTAGTTTCCTTAGCAAACCCCTGACCTGCTCGGCAGTGGCAACAATCAGTTGCACCCTTTTGTGCTCTATTTACACTTTATGGCATGTAGAAAATACAAGGAGTAACCTATGTAGAAATCTGAGTTCTGAAACACAAGTACCTACCAAAGAAAAGCTGGGTTTCTACAACTCTCACTGATTTCCAAGTGTATGTTACAGCTATGTAACTTTGAAAGGGCAAAATGTATTTTACAGATAAAGGGAAAAAGTAGAACTGACTGAGCTGTATGTAACTAGTTGCTGAATGGATGAATGAAGATGTGAGAAGAGGGCTGGCAGTAGCATGTTCTGTCAGGCAGGATTAGGTACAGCCTGGAGACTGACACTGTCTCACCTCAGCAGGCCAGAGCAGGTTAACCAGGTAACAGCAAGAGCAGCACTATTGCCTTTATGAAGCTCCATAGAATTAGAATTTCCAGAGAAATGAATGTGAACCTCAAGTTCCACAGAACTTGAGTTTCCAGAGAAATTTATTATCGCTGCTTTTCCATTCATTACACCTGAAATCCAGTTTTAAGTTTTAAATTGGTATGTAAGGTTTTTATCATGAACCAAAAAGTAGAATCAGCTATCAGTATTCTTCATTTGGCTGAAGTGCCCCACAAGAACAGAACACAGATCAACTACAGGATAAAACACATTTGTGTCCATGTGTCCTGCATGAAGTTCCTCTCGAGTTATAGTATTAGGATTCTTGAGGCAGGAGGAAAACCCAGAAGGCATATTTGGGCCAGAGAAGGCCAAGCAGAAATGTCACTGCACTGCTGAAATAGAACACCACATCATCTGAATTTGGGAATTAAAATAGGTGCTCCCTGGGGAGCCAGAGGCAGTAAAGTATACTGAAACCAAAATCACCTTTCACGAGACACAGCAGAATCTTGTGAAGGAGCAGCTCCAGAAGCAGAAGCAACAACCCTTAGCAGTGCAAGGAGTTGTTGCAGTCCAACAGCTAGTAAGATTAGTAAAGCTTACAAAGGCATTTCAGGAAGATTTTTCAGCCTAAAAGCAGCAAACACTGCTTATTTCTGGTCATCACAGAGAGGCACAACAGCTGTACCTTCTCCACTTCCCATTTGACAATAAATCAGGTTGACTGGTCTCACAGTTTGTTGCTGGGTTCCAAACTTACTCGTATTTGTAGCTCCTTTGCGATCTCTCGAAGCTGTTGCAAGTCAAAGAGATTGTTGTAAGTTCTCTCTGCAATACTGTTGAGGGCAGAAACAAATCTCTTTGCTTGTGACCGATTGCTCATCCCAGAGCCGTGCTGTGAACGTTCAAAGTCCAGTTTTCCAAACTCATCGGAGTAAGTCCCCAGCATGCTAAAAAGATTAAAAAAGATCAGCAGGAGGTAAATCAAGAGTACAAGGATTTGTTTCCTGAAACAACTGCTTGAGAAAGCTTACAGAGGCCACATAGGAAACTATCCCCTAGTAAGGCAGTCGCTATCTAGGGAACTGAGACTGTACAAATCACTTTTAAGCTGTTCAACTGCAACAGCAGAGAGTAATGACACGAGAGAAATAAAACCTCTCTGGCAGCACCTTGTGTCTAAGCTGCTGCACATGGGTATATGCAAGTGCTGTGATGACAACTCAGAGGCCTAAGCAACTGTATTCAGCCTCCAGTTGGAGGCAGTTTTTAAAGAAGAGCTAACAGATCTGAATATTGACATCATGGGATCATGGGCCTAAACCTGAAAAAGTCATTTCTTCACTGTGCAGATCTGTATTTAGGAAAACAACCCTCTTTTGAATGAATAGCAGTATGATGCTTTATTTGTTTCTAAAAGCAGCATGTGTTACCTATATTTCATTATTTCTATTACATCCTCAGCATCTTCTTTGGTAGATTTCTCCCTTAATTCCAGCCTTGATCGTGCCTTAAAACAAGACAAAAAACACCCCACAAGGGTATGTTTAAGATAGGTTATAATTGATGTGAAAAAAAAAACAAACCCTACAATCAGTCTACAACAAGCACAAATTTTAGGAGCACAGATGGAACCTGAGCCTACAGGATTTAGAGGAACATTCTTCTATTTTTTTAATAGCTTTTCAAATGTCATCTCCTGCATTATTAGGCTGGAGCTTGGAGTTTACTTGCTTGTTAACAGTATATTCTTGAGAAGGAGCAGATCAAAAATAGTGTTTTTAAGGCACAGATTTAGGGAAAAAAAGCAGCAGTTTCAGTTCAAGACAGTGTGCTCCTGCCTGCACTTACTTTTTCTCTTTTTGAGGCAAGTGCAGTTTCTTAGAAGAGACTTAGCTGAAAAGTCAAATCCCTGAACAGAATTAGTTCCATTCTAGCTCAAAACAGAACAATTCTCTTTCCACTCCCTCAGGAGCTTTTTACTTTATAAGAGGTTTTAAGCAACAGTAGTTCTCAAACATTGGTAAGTCTCTTCCATTCTCACTTTTTTTTAAAATAACAGAAAAGCAGAGCAATGAATAAACTGTGAAAAAGTATAGGGTATCAGTAGTAGTTTAGGAATAATCTCTTTGCCCTTTGCTCCCTGAAGTATTAGAGCTTGCATTTACCTCTGTAAGTCGAATCAGGGACTCTAGCTGCCTCGTGGTGATTGGTGTGCTGTCTGCTCCCTGGTTCTGCTTCCGGAGCTCAAGGTAGAATTCCTGGAGGACCTGAGCAGCTTCTGGAGATAAACTTGGGTGAACGTACTGCCGAGCATATCCGACATACTTCCTCAGCAGCTGATGTGGAATGGCATCAAAGTTTTCTCCTGGTAAGATCTAAGCCAATGACAAAGAAGTTAGATTTCTGTCTGTCAGAACCCTATACAATATAAATTTTAATATAAAATCCTCATCTTCTAGGCTTTATCTGGTCAAATCTTCACTGCAAAGGCTTTAGTGCTTCATATATGAACAGTGTACATAAAGAGTCCATACACTGTGCTTAGATGTGTAATTAAACACACTTGGCTATTTCAGAAAAAGCTGCTGAAGCTTCTCATTTGCAATAATAAGTGTCAAATATTATTTAGCTATATCAAGAATTTTTTCTGAAAATGAGAAAACCCATTTTCCCAATCGTTATAAGGTGTAGCCCCACAGAAGATTAAACCATCACTGCTGATGTTCTAATCCCAGGAGTGCACAGGTTCAGCTCCAGTAAGGGAAATTTCTCCCAAGACCTAGCATTTGACAATATCAGCCCTCACACTGATGATCACTTATGTTCAATAAGAAATATGCTTCCTCTCCTGAAATCCCTAAACCTGTCATGAGTTGCAGATGCCCAAAGATTTCTTTACACACTGCTTTATTATAGATTTGTTATATCCAGTCTAGTCAACACAGCATGTCTGCTTTAGAGCATCTCAGCAAAGTATCTTCTCACTACTACAACTGAAAAAAAAACAACTCAGCCAATAAATTCTCTCCTGGGTGGGGATGAAGATTGCCTGAGACATCTTTAGTGGCTCCAGCAGGGTGCCTAATGTTCCTACCGAGTGTCTGTTGTAGCTAACTAGTGGCTGAAGCCTGAAATGCTGCTGCTTTAATTGAGAGCAAATTCCCATGAGGAGAACAGGAGTGTAAGACTGCGGACATCTGGCAGGTCCGAGCGCGAAGAGGAGCCCAGGAAGGGGCCCGGGGAGGGTGGGAGGCCAAGCCCTACCTTGAGCCTGTCGAGCAGCGGTCGGTCGGAGGGGAGCTGGAGCAGGGAGCGCTCCTGGGTGCCGGCAGGGGCCGTGCCGGCGCTGCTGCTCCCTGCCCGCCGCCCTGCCCGCATCGCCAGCACGTGCTCCGACAGCAAGTGGTCGTGGTCTTCGTTTGGGGTGTCCAGCAAAATGAAAACCAGGTCAAATCTCGACAGCAAAGCACTCCCCATTCTAGAGCAAAGACAAGACAACCACACGGTGCTCATGAAGAAGCGGAGAAGTTGCAGCAACTCTGCTCCATTTCAAAGACACTCGAAACAAATCCTGCCTCATTCATTCAGAATAAACTAGAACAGCAACTTCTCTCTCCAAAGCCATGAAAAATTATTACTGTAAGTTTGTGTTCAAGCTCCAGGAAACTAGAAAAGCCATTATAGACAAGCTAGAAGACCACCAGCAGCATCGACTGCTGAATGTGAACTAAACAAGCAGCATTTCAGAGATTGCTCACTTTAAGTTCTCAGACACAGTTTTGGCTTTGTTGTAATGTCCTCCAACTGGGTTGGCTGCAGCAATAATAGACGTCCGAGCTGGCAAACTGCAAACGACGCCAGCCTTGGCAAGGCTGATGCTTTGTTGTTCCATGGCTTCCAACAACGCCTGATGCTGGTTTCCCATCTTATCAAATTCGTCTATTCCACACATGCCTGGAAGCAATTAGCACAGGACAAAAGATTTATTAGAAGAGACATGAGCTGATGGACAGGTGTATGCTACAATCCAGTGCTACATCAGAAGTCCAACCTAGAGTCCTAGGGACTGCAGGAGACATTGGACCAAGTCTCCATTGCAGTGAGGTTTCTTTTCATTTCATGGTGCCACAGCTGAACCTTTATGAAGTTGACCTGGACCTTTAAGAAGTTGACCTGGCTTGCAGAAGCAGTGTCTAGATTACACATTAAGATGACAAAGTGATCTTTTAAAAAATAGAAGTGGACTACATAGCTCATAAGCCAGCTGTTTTTTTCAAAACCAGTAAGAGTCCAGCAGCTACCATTAAGTCAGAAATTTCTCAACAAGGGAATCCTAATTCTTTGACACATTAAGTGAGGCTGGTATGTGAACTGTGGAACTCCAGCTTTATACACCTGGAAAGGCAGGAACCACCTCCAGAGAAGTCACTGGAGAAGCTCAGAACTTCCTGAGGTGTGGAAAGCCAATATCATTCTTCACACTTACATTTTTAGTCCACAGTTACACAAGCTCTGTAGTTAATCTTAGCCTCAGCAGCTCACACAGCCCTGCCCCACACATGGCCATACAAAACCTGCAGCATTACAAGGATTACCTTGATCTCCAAGCACTAAAGCACCAGCTTCCAAGGCAAAATCTCCAGAAGCACCATCTCTAGACAGTGTAACAGTCAGGCCAGAGCTGGTAGAAGTGTTACCACAGACATACACACCTCGAGGAGCAACGTTACACACTGCCTAGAAGAGAAATAAATGCTTTATCCCTCCCCAAGGTGAAGAATTTCATAAGCCTTATTCTAAAGAAACGATTCAAAGTGAAGCCAAATTTGTTTCTTTCTACTTAATGTGGCCCAACAGTGAAGTCATAACTCCTTGCAAGCCCACGAGACATACTTCTGAGAAACAGTAGAAGTAACTTTGGTCACAATACTTGCAGCACAGCCATGCCTGTGTTATTAAAACAACTAGGACCTTGGGCACAGCACTTATATTTCAAAGCTGAAATGTGGGACATGCAATCCATCACAGAACTGCAGACAGATAGTCTCTCTCTCTTCTGGTCCCAAGGTCTATTTAGACTGATATCTTGTCCTAGTGCCCAACACATGCTGCTTCAAAGGCAGCATGCACAGTTCTCCCCACAGCTAGGTGATAAAGGACAGTCCTAGTCTTCTCTATGCCTCTGGTATCCAGAAAACAGCCTACAGTTTCAAACATGACCTAGAAAAGCAAAGTGTGGTAAGCTTGGACAAACATTTTGCGGTTAAATTTGCCTAGAATACAGTTATAAGTAGATATTCCCAGTAAATCTTTATAGTTACTGTTGCCTTTGTTTTATTTAAATGATAAATAAAACCAAAAAGCACATTTTTATATACTCCTCAAAGCGTATTTGTTCAGTACCAGATATGTGAAAGTACTGAAGAATAATAATAAAAACAAACCAAAACAAAACAGAAAATCCCTAGCTCCTATTTTTTCTCCTTGGGATTTTTTTTCTGTGGCAGTGATGACTGAGAGAAGCCTTGTCTCAGGGTGCTATCTGAGGAACTGATTCTGAGCTTTTCTTGGATGACATTCTGTTATTTAGTAACAAATAATTTACTGTATGCCAGTGTCACCATTCAATGAAAAAAAAAAAAACGTTGAAAAATTAGTTTGCCAAGCTGCTTGCATACAACTCCATCACTTTGGTTCAGTCACTGCAAGTCACATCCTAATATAACATGTCCACATTAGAAGCAGTCAGACTTCTTAAATGAGGTGTGCAACGCTGCAGCTCTAGGTGAACTCTGTCCCTCCTTCACTTCCCAGCAACCATGGGAAAAGACATGGGACTTCAAAACCAGTCCATTTAGAATTAAAAGTTTTTTTACTAACTGATTTTGTCAGTCATGCAGAATTGCCCTCCAAGATTAGAACCCAAACACAGCAGTGGGTCCCTTTCCCAAAAACTCAAGATCTGTGCTACCAACACAGAAACAGGGCAAGAGAATGGAAGGAAACCTCACAGAAGATGAGTGACATGGTAATTAAAGTCACTGCCCTAGTTTGAAGTAGAACAGAGCTAATTCTGTTCAATTATTTTACTTTTTAGCTAATCTCTTCTAACCAACTGCACTTTCTGAAGTTAATGGCAGATTTTGGCAGTGTCTGCTTCTAGCAATGGTAACGCTCCACGTTTGGGGTTACTGCCAAGGATTGGTGTGCAGACCAAGGTCACTGCTAAAACTTGTGTACCATGTTGTGGGGTGCAGAAAGTGAAAGGTTGCACCTGCAGGGAGGGCAGATGGGACAGGTGACCCTAAACTAACCAACAAGTTATTCCATCCCATATACATCATATTCAGTATAAAGCTGAGGGATCAAAAGGGTCAAGCTCTCTGCTTCAATGGTCAGCATCTCAGAACTCTCTATGTTTTGCCTCAATCCATGTTTTCCTGACTCCAGTTCCAGAATCCAGCTCCTGAATCTGGTTCCCATCCACCACTGAGTCCAGTCTGGGATTTCCTCAGTGCCTGCTCCACAGCATCAGTGGTGACAGTGACATAACTGCCATCGCGGGGTGGGTTCAATGCTGGTTTTGTACAGATTTGTGGATATTCCCTTTTATTATTATTTTCATTAAAGCTGTTTCAGTTTTCTTCCCCAATCCATAAGTCTTCCTCTTTGGGAAGGGAGAGGGATTAACAGAGAGACATCTGTCAGTCTAGTGGACTTTCTGTACTATCTTACATTTGAGGCACCCTACATGAACAGGCAGCTCAAGCCAGGCTCAAACAACCCTTTAGTCTCAGCACAGCTAACCTACCATGCTTACAAGAACTCAAGATAATGAAGAACCAGAGAAAAATACAGACAATAGAAATAAATGAACCCATACTTGCAGCATTTGACTCTTTCCTAATCCTGGATCTCCAACCACCAGCACATGTGGATCTCCTCGCACTGGGATTCTGTTCTTGTCGTCCACAAACTTCTGACATCCCCCAAATAATGCCAGGGCCAAACCTGCTTTTACAATCTGTAGTGGTACATACCAACACTTGTAAGTATTTGATCATGGTGACCAATGCTGACAGCTCTCTAGAACTGGCTGTAATAACCCTTTCCTTCTGGACAGCTGCCATCTCCTTGTCATTAACAGTGACTGTGAGTCATAGTCACTTGTAAATAGTCCTTGCCCCTGCCCCCCTCCCCAGATGAGCTTTATGAATCTTTTAGGAGTTTTTTTGTGGTATAAATATTTAAAATTGAAGTTGCAAGTAGAAATGTTAAATTACTTACCTCATGGCCATAAATTGCAGGACAAAGAGAGCTGAAAAATAATGAACAGTGTAACATAAGGGGAATATAAATCTTGTATTATTATACACTTTTAGTCAGCTGTTACTGAATTTCCAACAGATTCAGTTTAAATCGGCAGCATCAAATTTCTTTAAATTTCCAGATTACCAAGTATGCTTGAAGTCAGAAAAGCCTTTCATCTGAGTTCACACAAACACAGGGGAGAACCAGTTTCCCACTGGTTTCTACACCCATTCTTATCTTAATCCAGTAGCTACTTGTAAACTTCCTTCTAAAGGTGCTGGTTTCATGTTCTTTGACTCCACTGGGTGGGTCTGAAGGACACTCCAGCTAGAAAAACACTTCTCAGTCTGAACTGAGGGTTTTTCACACCCTCTGCTCAGTTCTTGCACCTCTTTCCTCTGCTATAGAAGAGCAGAGAACAAAGTAGTATGTGTAAGCTGAAGTTACACACAGAAGAGTAAAATTAATTGTTTTTTTTTATCCATAGCTCTGTCTCAGGGTTGAACTAAGCCACTCCTAACTTCCCTGTATCCTTAAATCCTTCCCAAAGTCCTAATATCCCCACTGCAATACTTTCACTTCCTCCCAAGCCCCTTGCCCACTAAAGCTTGTTAAATGTCTGTGGTAGCTGTTGCACAAGCCGTAGACATTTCACAGCTTTAACATCAGCTGTCATGTTTGTCTGCAGGTGATCGTGCAGACTCAGAAGCCTAATCCTAGACCTAGTCTAGGTCTGACACAACTTACTTCACGATGAGCCTGAAGAGGTTCTCCTCAGCTTGAATTTCTTGAACAGCATAGAGGTCTTTAAGTGAAAACTCCATGAAGGATCTTTGAAAAGTCTCGTCAAAATTCTTTGGTTTTTGTCCTTTACTGTTGCTGACAGAATTTGCCTCAATGTACAACAAGAACATACACTTGTCATTCTTATTTTTAGAGGCTCCTATGAGAAAAATTGAGAAAGGATAAAGGACTATTTTTTTTCTGTTGTTAAGTACTGATGTTATTTACAAATGGCATAGGGCAATTCAGAAATACCAAGTACAGCCATGTGCACAGTAAAGTTCATAGTCAAATTATTGAACATCTTCATTCTCAAAAAAAAAAAATGATGCAAAGTAAGCTTCTAGTTATATTTGATCTTTAAGTTCCCTCCATCTAGGTACACAAAATATTTTGCTGGATTAGGAGGGTATATGTACAGAGAATTTTCTCCCAGAATAAGTGATGTTTTCCAGGAATTTTAAGTTATTGTATTATTCTAGTCAAGTAAAAGTTGAATATAAAATGTTTCTACTCAATATTCAGAGGAAAAAAAAACATAATGAGGACATGTAGCTTAATAATTTATCATTTTCTATATCCCTGATGATTACTGAGCAGAGAGTGCAGTCCCACAGTAAATCAGTACTGAAGTTCTCTGCAATATATCCTGTTACATGTGTGCACAACACATTTCTTCTCTTGGGGCGAAAAAAGAAGTTGTAAAATTTCTCCAGGGAGGACTAAACTAAGGAAGGTAATGCTCCTTCACAACAGTGTGATAGTTTTCCTATCGTTTGAAGAAGACATTAAAGGGAAAAGGTGAAGCAAACAAGGAGTCTCAGTGAGACTTCAGGAAATAAGGATGTCCCCTCTGCATTAGTGGTCCAGAGAAGGCTTTCCTATCAAAACCTCAAATGTCAGACTGACACCAGGCTCAGGACCACCATTGTGTATAGTCCAGCAGGTTGCAAAACTCTCTAGAAGGGAACCATAGAGAGAGCACTGCTCTTGTATAGCAGTGCCTCTGGCTTTTTCAAAGTAACTCTTCAGAATAAACCTTGAGGGATTTCTGAAGCAACATAGACTTAATGCATTTACTCCTTTGAGAGCCCAAACTAAGGGTGGTGGCTGCTGTTGTTCTTGTGTAATCACTAGAGGAATCCCACTGGGGAGAATGTGTTCTCAGAGGACGCACTGTACCTTCCTCAGTGCTGGACACCTTCACAATCCCTGTGATTGTGACCATGTCTCCTGGAACACAGCTGTCCACAAGATCCTGAACCAGCTCACATTCGATGGTGCGAGGGATCCGGCCCGACTCCCGCTGATCATCCGACATCAGCTCCTGCACCCTGCAGGACACGAGATGAGCCACCAGCTCCCTCACAGCCCGGGAGAGCTGCAGCTGCCTGCTTCCAGCCCAGCCTTTCCAAACCGGCAGGGGGGCAGGCAGCAGAAACGCCCTGGGGAACTCCAAAAACACCAGTGCTGAACTGGGAGAAACAGATTTTTTCAGTGTACAGAATGCCAGAAAAATGAGAAAGACAGTTTAACTATCAGCTCCAGAAACAAAAAAAAAAAAAGCATAAACCCTGATTTCTGGCACTGATGAGGACATCTATGGAGAAATAAGTGCAGTACCTGAAATCAGATGGACCTCACATACAAAAATGAAGAGGTCAGGTGACATATGGCCCTGATGAATGCCTAACTGGCATTTTAACCCTAGCAAAAGCCCAAGAAATTTCTCAGACCATCACAACTGTTCACTCTTTGTACAGCTGTAAAAGGCTGGCAACTAGCAAATTCTTTAAAAGGTTCCAGATTGGGCTCTGCATTTAGAGCTCTGACAGTTTCCCTCTAAGCTCAAGTCAAGCTTTTCTTCAGAAGCTGTGATGAGCAGCACCCTCTAGAGCTGCTGACAAGAACATCAGCGCTCATTTTTAAAATGAATTTTTAAATTACTTTTATTACAGAACATTTATAGAGAAAAATATATTTAGATGTCATTTGGCACAAGACTTTTGATACAGTGCATGTGAACATACAGAATCTCAATGTAAGAAGTGAGAAAGAATAAGCAGTCTTGTTTTTTTTTCTAAGACAACAGCCTTACTGCAGCAAGCTAGCAGGATGGACAAGAAATCACATCAAACTCTTCTGAATGTGTATGATGGGACAATAGTAGGATGGCCACAGAACTAATAGCAATAGTAAGATGGAAGCAATGAAAACCAGATCTGCTGTCCACCTTCCTACACTTGAACATTGTTCATTCCTGTAGAAATTGTGACTTGTTCCCCCTTAGCAAAGATCTCACAAATTTTAGGCTGATTGGACTTAGAGAGCAGACAGATGGTCGAAGCATTATTTCCTCCTACTTATTGTACCTTAAGGACAGGGGGACACATTATCACTTCAAACTAAGATTTTCAACCCTTAAATTTAGTTTCAGTTCATTCAAGTCAACTGTCACAGCTGACCAATGTAATTTAACAGGGCTTTTCTAGCAGACTTACAGCTCCTTTGAGGGAATCATTAAATAAAAGATGCAAATAGAAATGATGAAGGAAAAGCTGCAAAGAGCATAAACTGAACATTTCTGAAGAATAATCAGAAAAAAAAATCAGCCATGGTAGGAGGAAATTCAAAGAAGCAATTATATTGGGTAGATTTAATATAGAAAGTATACTAGTGCTCAGATAAAACAACCACTTTGTAACACAGATTTTTGGAGACCACATGGGGCAAAACAATAAGATTGTTACAGTTACACAGTACAAGAGGGACTGAGCCATCCTGTCACTTTTTGCCTACCCTGTTGCCTTACATTTTTGTGCAGAAGAGAAGAGATGCTTACTTAACAGACTGCCAGTCCACTGTGGTGGTTAAAGGAGAGCTTCTGTCAGCTGTGAAGGATCGCCCACGGCACTCAGGAATAAGACACTATAACAACAGGAATTCTAATTAAGTCTCAACCTTTCTTAAAATCACTATTTGAAATAGCCTTATTTGATTAAAAAGAAAAGCAAAACAACGTGATTGATTAACACTGTTTCAGGAAAAAAGCTAGTCACATTAGGACTACAAATTAGCTCACATATAATTAATGAAGAGTTATGGAGCACAGAAACCTGATCCCCAACTCAGTTGATAGAACCAATACAGCTGCAGTGTATGATCCCCTTAGTGAACTGGTTTGAGTTTTTGGGTGTTGGGAAGGTGGTGGGTAGTTTTTCATTAGGCTTTGTTTGATTTTTGACGTTTTGGTGGTGTTCTGTTTGTTTTTTAACACTTGTAGATGTTCCAGAGGAGGTATTTTTTTCGCTTGAGCACATCAGATAGCACAAAATAACCAGGCACTGCCCTATGTCTAATGACTTTCAAAATCTAGATTAAAAAAACCAGTAAAATTAAAATAGAAAGTTCTCAAAAAAAAAAAATCAAAACCCAATCCAAGCACAGAAAACCACAGCAATGAGGTGGAGGAGGGTTTTAAACGTGACTGGTGAAATGGAAATGAAGAGATTTTTTTTTCCTAGATTTGAGGGAGTTTTGATATACTGCTTTTGCTTCAGCAAGATACAATATTTTTTTTCAAATAACAAGGGTTTGCAGCAATACAAAGTTTCATGGTAAGTTTAATTTTTTCTAATGTGTCAGTTGTTTAACCTAACTTTAAAGATGAGTTTTATTTTTTTTAATTAATACCAACGGTGCTGCTTTTTGTCACATCGCTACAGATAAAGGAAAAGAATGAAATTTAAATGGTTTTAGCTCACCTTAGTTGGAAGAGTGTACTTTCCATCAGGTAAAGGAACACCCTGAACATCTCCACACGTGCCACAGACAAAAGCCAGCTTAGTGCACAGGGGCTTGATGTTGCTGACCCGCACGACGGTGCCACGCAAGGCAACGTACTTCCCGTAGCAGTTGGCACGGATGTTCCTCAGCTGGGTCAGTGGATCATAGTTGTACACCCTGCAAAAAAGCTAAGCATTAACATTTTGAAAGCTTACTACACTTAAATGCAGAACAAAACCACCCAATAAAACCGAACAACCCAACCCCCAAACAACCAAAATCCCACACTCAACAACAAAAAGGTTTACACACTCATTATTAACAGTAATCCAGAGGAATGATTAGAAATATTTTGTCTGTGGAGCCATGGCATAGTGTTTGATTCCTGTTCTACAAAGCAGTGTGACATTTAATGTTCCCTGAGAGTACATACCTCAACAGCTGTACAGCGTGGTGAGTGACATCTCCCTTCTCTAACCAAGACTAGCAATACAACAGAAAGTACTTTATAGTCATCTATAAGCATCTCTTTGAATTATTTTGGGTTAAGATCAAAGTTTAGACTTGTGAGACAAAAGGATCGAAGATTTATTATGCCTGTGTTCCAAAAGGGTGAGTTTGTGTTTCAACAACAAGAGAACCTGCCATGAGGTACAACACACTGCACCTTGTTAAGGACAACAAAGAGTTCAGAATAACAAGCTTGAAGCAGAACAATTTGGCATGCAGTGGACCTCATATGGTTGGCCAGTCCAGCCCCACTGCTCAAGCAGGGTCAGCTACAGCAGGTTTCCCAGGTATGTGTCCCATTGAGTTTTGAACATATTTGTGGAGACTACACAACATTTCTCACAGTAAAATAGTGTTTTCTCCTGTTCACATGGAATTTTAACTGTTTTAATTTGTATCTACTGTCCCTTGCCCTGTCACTGGGCACCAATGAGAAGAGTCTAGCTACTGAAACCCCAGGTTTTCCTGCACCCTCCACTTAGGACTCTGAGCACCCTGTCTGTGCTGCAAAACCATTTTAGAAGCAAGGCATTTTACTGACTTATTGAATACTTTTCTCTACAGCATAATGTTCCACAACTGCCTCTTAGAATTTATGTATCTTATATGTATCTTTTTTGGCCACAGTTTTTCTTCCTAAACACATTCTATTGTGTTGTTAAAAGAGTGCAGCTTTATAACAAAGCAAAATTAAAAAATATATCCTAGTAGTTAACAATAATAACAGTAGCTACAATTCTTGTAAGTATATGCTTAATCAGAGTAAGTGTAACCTCAGCTTCTTAATTTTGAGTTAAAGTTTGATCACTTAGAATTAATATTCTTGAGACTGTCTACCAGTAATCATTCAACAGATCTAAGCTAAGATGAAATAACACATCCTCATACACCACTGTCACAACATCCATACAAAGTTAATAATTTATGTAGTTTATGTAGTTTGTTTTACACTCTCCAAATCAGCCTCTTTACAAAGAGGAGCCTTTTGCTAACAACAAGCTGGATGATAATCACTGCCCCAGTAAACTGCAGAAATTTGCATAGTTCTGTTTTTAATCAATATATGCTTTACAGAAGAGTTGTTCTACTTGTAAGTTCTTTATAAGCTTTTCTAGTTACAAGAGCTTGTTCAGCTGATTTGCATAGTTCTGTTTTTAATCAATACATGCTTCACAGAAGAGTTGTTCTACTTGTAACTATAAAAGCTTATAAAGAACTTACAAGAGCTTGTTCAGCTCATAAGGTTTCATTTGACTTTTTTTCTTCACCAGGACAGTTCAGCCTTTGCCCTGGTGAAGGAAAAAGCAAAATGTAGAGTGTTCTTCTGGAGACAGCTTCACAGAGTCAGGTCTGTCAGTAAAATAAACATGTAAACCTTCTGCACTATGCATGGATGCTAACAACCATTAGACAAGAATCACATAGATCTTCCTGGGAAAAAAAACCAAATACTCAGCACACATTACCTGGCATGAATGAGAGGCACATTTATTATAGGTTCTCCATCAAGGGGTAACCCCTCCTGCACCTGCAGCTCTGCAGCATGCCTTTCCAGATCCTTTGTCAGCACCTAGACAGAGCAGAAAGGCAGAAACAAATGTGTCTCGTGCCATGCAACGTGGATTCAATTTGCTACTAAGTTAGATTACCATCCCTAACAATCAGAGCCCCTTGTTGAAGCCTGAAGAGCTCTCTGCTGTCCCATGACCCCCCTACTAAAGTGTTTTTCTGCTTCTGAGCAGTTTTAAGTTTCATTCTAAACATAATTTAAAACAAACATATTTGCTGTGTTGGATTTTTTATAAAAAAACCCATACAATTATCTTTAATGCTGTGGTCAATGTGTGGAGTTTTGACTGAAGCACAAAAAATGGAGAAATTGTCAACAAGCAGTGAAATGTTACTTTAAGAGACATGGAACAGAGGCAGAAATCCTTAAAGTCTGCTCACCATTCCCCACCAGCCATGGTTCTGCTGCAGGAGGGGGTACACAGCACAGGTAACTCACAGTATATTAAAATAAAAAGACAAAAACAAAAAAACCCCAGGAATTATAACTCCCAATAGGGAGCAACAGAAGTGTTAGGAATACAGTTAATTTTAGTCAATTGCTTTTCTGAGGAGAAAGCAAAATACACCAAGACCAAAGCACTTTCAAAACATGATTTTGTGGGCCATAAGTTCTAATGCTGAAGAAGTGGAAGAGTTTGAGTTTGAAATAAAGAGTATTTTCCTGTAAGAAAGAAAAACCTAGATATTTGGGGTTTCTAACATCATTGCCTCTAAGTCCCACTGGTTCTTTTTCATTGTGAGGGTTATGCTTCTATGTATTAGAACATCATATTTACCTGATGAATTGCCAGACCCATACAGTGCAGTATTTTCTGAGGCATATCTCTTAATTCATCAGATATATTTGGTATCGATTTAGTCAATTCTCTGTCATGTATTAAGTCCTTATAATCCACAAGAATACTTCCTTTTCTTTCTATTTCATCCTGTGAAACATTTAAGGTTTTAAAACACACTTCAAAATGTAAACACAACACATCTAAATCACAGAATGGTTTGGAAGGGACCTTAAAGACCATCTAGTTCCAACCCCCCCGCCATGGGCAGGGACACCACCCATGAGACCAGGTTGCTCCAAGCCCAATCCAACCTGGTCTTGAACACATCCATTTCACATCTATGATGGACATTACACACAAAATTTGTTATTTTACTGTATCAACAATAGGTTGTTGGGGTGGGATGTGTTTTGTTTCTGTTTTACCTTATCATAAAGATCAATGCGTTGCATGAAAAACTTCTCAAAGGCTTGAGTCTTCTGGACAAAAGGAGACTTGTCAGCATAAGCTAATTAGAAACATGCCATGTTAGTAACTGCCACAAATAATTATTTCTGTTTCACAAAATACATAAACAGGTAATTTATCTTCCATTATTTGTCTGTATTCCAAAACTAGGGAAGATGATAGATCTCTACACTATCACAGTACTGTTCTATTGTAAGACCTGTTACAAAACAGAAATTTGTCTAAGGTGACACAGGACAAGGATACAGGATCAAAAAAGGTACAGTAGTGGAATGTATATTCCAGTCTTTGATAGACTGCAAGTTTTATGTGGTAGTTAAAGTGGTTTAAGAAAGAACATATTTTACACTATTCAAGAATCTTTTCCAAGGTTTGGAGCCCACAGAGATTGCAGTATGCCACAAGATTGAAATCTTTCTATTGTCATCATGTTTTTAAATAACAAATACGAATTTTGCTTGCTTGCTGTTGAATTTAACCGCTCTACTTATGGCCAACTCTACAAAACACTGAATAAAATACTTGCTACATCTAGTTTTGGGCTAAGAATACCTTCAGAGAAATAAAGCTTCCAGCCTTTATAGGGAATAAACTGGTCCAGCGTTGACTGAACTAGTCGAGATCTTACTGGAGAAGAAAAAAAAAAAATGAAAATGGAGATCAAAGCAATGGAGATCCTAAAACTTTTCAAGTTTTAATCTCAGTGATTCTTTTGAACACCAGGAGGCAAACAGCTGTAACTGCCTAGTGCAGAAGCAGATTAAAAGCAGAATATTACGGCTTCAGAAAATATAGAAGCATAGGAGCTGGCTCACCAGGTTCGGCTGCTTTCCTGCTCTCTCCCTTCTGTCCTCTGCCTCGCCAGCCGCCTCGCCAGCCCCCTCGCC